ATTATTTAGTTAGATCTGTTTTTTCTTCTCCACACAGTAACTGCATAATTAAATGTATGGTCTGACCTGCATTTATTAGGTGGATTTTCAAATATGTCACTGATGGAAATCTAAGGATGAAAAGAATTAAAAATTAAATCAATGCAAATACAATATTTGAAGACCAAAAAGTCATTGGTCTAAATATATTAATTGGTAATATCCTTGAGGGTGTAGACAGACACTTAAAATAATTTTTAAAAATGAATTATGAAGCAATGAAAGAAACAAAAAGATAAATTTATGCAAATACATAAAAACAAGTTGCAGGTAAAAATATCATGAACAAAATTAAAAGGAGAAAGGGAGTTTGCTTTATTACTTAAAGAAGTTTTACCTTATGGAGGTTTGAAAACATGGCCAGATTCTTTGATTCTCCTCTCTGTTCTCTCCCACTGAATCTGGGAGAGCTTGTGAACTGACGAGTTGAGCACAGTGCAGCAGGTATTATGTAACTTCTGCAGCAGGATCACAGAAAGCTATGAGGCCAACCTCGTTTGCTGGAACATTGTCTTTTGGAGCCCTGAGTCTCCAAATGAGAAGTCTGACTACCTAGAGACCCATGCAGGAGAAGCCACCCATGCAGGAGAAGGCACTCCTGTTGACAATGCCAGCAAATCTCAGCTTTCCTTCTATCACTGCCAGGGTACTAAAGATCTGAGTAAAATCACGTTGTGCCCTTCAGATCAGCCAGTTGCCAGATGAGTAAGTCATGAGAGCAGAAAAAGCTTCTAGACATACCTGAATTCCTGATTCCTAAAATTGTGATATAAAACATTTGCTGTTTTATGCTGCTAAATTCTGATGTGGTTTATTATGCAGCAAAGATAGCTGGAGCATACCCTCTTGTATTTATGATATTTTTACAATAAAAAATTGAAAAACTGAATGTGAAATACACTCTGGGAAAAGTTGTTTGCAAGAATTAACAAACAGTCTTAGTATCCTTTCAATATAAAGAGCTCTTACAAATCAAGAAAAAAATGATAACACCATATAGGAAAATAGGCAATTAAATTCACAGAAGAAGAGATTAAAAGCTAATAAACATGTTAGGAAGCCTTCAACCTCATTAGTAATGAAAAGAAAGGTAAATTAATTTATGAAATTAAAATTTTGGTTCTCAAATCATCCAAGGTGAAAATATACTTAATGTTGGTTGGGTTAAGTGAGAGTATAAATGGCACGAAGTTTCTGGAAAATAAATTGACATTATATATTCAGAATTTAAAAAATATCTATATTCTTTGATGCTTCTAGGAATTTAGATAACGAAGTAATCAGAAATAAAATAATATAGAAAATGTTCACTACAGTTCTATTTATAGGAGTAAAGGTATAGAAACAAGCTAAGCATCAATCAATATAGTTATGTAAATTATGTAGTTTGTATTATAGAATATCGTTTTATTGTTTATAGTGAAATTTTAAATATTTTTCCTTTGTTAATTTTGATGTGGGCACACCATAGCATAACAGAAAAATCTTAGTATGGACACATAGACTGAGTTTTGAATCCTAGATTTGCCATTTACTTTTCCTGGTGATGTGGTTTGGCTGTTTCCCCACCCAAATATCATCTGGAATCGTAGTTCCCATTACCCCTTCATGTTGGGGGGGGACCTGGTGGGAGGGAGGTAAGTGAATCATGGGGGCGGTTACCCTCATGCTGTTCTTGTGACATAAGTGAGTCATAAGATCTGATGGTTGTGTAAGGGGCTTCTCCTGGCTTCACTTACACTCTCCTTGCTGCCACCATGTAAAGAAGGACATGTTTCTTTCCCTTCCACTATGATTGTAAGTTTCCTGAGGCCTCCCCAGCCATGATGAACTGTGAATCAATTAAACCTCTTTCCTTTATAAATTGCCCAATCTTGGATATGTCTTATTAGCAGTGTGAGAATGGACTAATACAGTAAATTGGTACTGGTACTAGGATGCAACTGTGAGGATACCCATAAATGTGGAAATGACTTGGAACTGGGTAACAGGCAGAGGTAGGAACAGTTTGGAGGGCTCAGAAGACAGAAAAATGTGAGAATGCTTGGAACTTCCTAGAGACTTGTTGCATGGCTTTCATCAGAATGCTGTTGGTGATATGGATAATGAAGCCCAGGCTGAGGTGGTCTCAGATGGAGATAAGGCACTTGTTGGAAACTGGAATAAAGGTCACTCTTGCTATGTTTTAGCAAAGAGACTGGCACATTTTGCACCTGCCTGTGGAACTCTGAACTTGAGAGAGATGATTTAGGGTACCTGGTAGAAGATCTAAGTGGCAAAGTGTTCAAGAGAAAGCAGAGCATAAGTGTCTGGAGAATTTGCAGCCTGATGTGTGATAGAAAAGAAAAACCAAATATTCTAGGGAGAAATTCAAGCCTTATGCAGAAATTTGCCTAAGTAATGAGGAGCTGGATGTTAATACCAAGACAATGGGGAAAATACTTCCAGAATATGTCAGAGACGTTCATGGCAGGCTCTCCCATCACAGGCCCAGAGGCCTAGGAAGAAAAAAATGGTTTTGTGGGCCTGCTGTATGCATCCTAGGGACTTAGGGCCCTGTGTTCCAGCCCCTCCGGCTGTGGCTGAAAGGAGCCAAGGTACAGCTTGGGCCATGGATTCAGAGGGTGCAAACCCCAAGCCCTGGCAGCTTCCATGTGGAATTGAGCCTATGGATACACAGCAGTCAAGAATTGAGGTTTGTGAACTTCTGCCTAGACTTTAGAGGATATATGGAAATGCCTGGATGTCCAGGCAGAAGCCTGCTGCAGGGGTGAGGACCTCATGGAGAATCTCTGCTATGGCAGTGCAGAAGGAAAATGTGGGGTTGGAGCCTCCACACAGAGTCCCCACTGGAGCACTGCCTAGTGGAGCTGTGAGAAGAGGGCCACCATCCTTCAGACCCCAGAAGGGTAGATCCACTGACAACTTGCATTGTGTACCTGGAAAAGCGACAGACACTCCATACCAGCCATGAAAGCAGCCAGGAGGGAGGCTGTACCCTACAAAGCCACAAAGGCATAGTTGCCCAAGGCTGTAGGAGCTGACATTTTGCATTAGCATGACCTGGATGTGAGACATTGAATCAAAGGAGATCAATTTGGAGCTTTAAGATCTGGCTACCTTGCTATATTTTTGACTTGTATGGGGCCTGTAGTCCCTTCGTTTTGGGCAATTTCTGCCATTTAAAATGGGTGTATTTATGCGATGCCTGTACCCCCACAGTATCTTGAGAGTAACTGTTTTTTGATTTTACAGGCTCATAGGTGGAAGGACTTGCCTTGTCTCAGTTGAGACTTTGGGCTTGGACTTCTGAGTTAGTGCTAGAATGAGTTAAGACCTTGGGAAACTGTTGGAAAGGCATGATTGTGTTTTGAAATGTGAGGATATGAGATTTGGGAGAGTCCAGAGGCAGAATGATATGGTTTGGCTGTGTCCCCACCCAAATCTCATCTTGAATTCTAGTTCCCATAATCCCCATGTGTCATGGGAGGGACCCAGGGGGAGATAAATTAATTATGAGGGCAGTTACCTTCAAGCTGTACTGAGGATAGTGAGTGAGTTCTCATGAGATCTGATGGTTTTATAAGGGGACCTTTGCCCTTTTGCTTGGCACTTCTCCTTGCTATTGCCATGTGTAGAGGGACATGTTTGTTTCCCCTTTCACCATAATTGTAGCAATTTTCCTGAGGCCTCCCCAGCCATACAGAACCAATTACACCTTCTTCCTTATAAATTATCAAATCTTTGGTATGTCTTTATTAGCAGCATGAGAATGGAATAATATACCTCGATATTTGGAAATTTGACTTGCCACTTTGACTTGAATCTTTCATATAAGGAGAATGAGCTAAGTACCTATTTCATTGAATATGGTTATGATGAAAAGAATTCATGTATTTATAGATAACAATGCATAATAGTTTATTTATTTATTTTTTAGTTTTTGCCTTAAAACAACAAAAGTGTATTTTCTCCAAGTCTGGAGTCTGGAAGTCTGAAATCAAAATATTGGCAGGGCCATGCCTACTCTGAGAGTTCTAGAATAGAATTCTTTTTGCCCCTTCCAGCTCTGGTATTTGTTAACAAGCCTTGCTGTCTCGACTTGTAAAGGCATCACTCCAATTTTGTTATATGGCCTTAATAGTTTTATGCCTATATTTGTGTATTTATAAATAATAAGCGTAATAATTTCTCATGAGTGTTGTCTCTTCTTATAAACCAAGGACACCATCTGATCTCCATATCTGAATTCAAATTCATACCACTTTCCAAATTTACTGTAAGTTTTTCACTCTGGCTCCTTTGATACCTCCCTTTCTGCCATAGTCCAATTTCTATACTATAGTCAGACTTTGAGAACAAAAACAAAAACCAATGAGTCAATTTTCTTTCGTATATCCCTCCAGTGGTTCCAATTGCCTTAAACACATCTCTACTCTTGCTCTACTCTCCACACAGCAGATTAAATGCACTTTGAAAAATGATCAGATTATGTGTCATTCTCCTGCTTCTGTGTCACATTCCCCATGCCCAATAGCTCCACATGGCACTGAGAATGAATCTAAACTTATTTCCTGGCTGCTATGCCCCATATTATTCCCACTCTGCCTTCTTTTCAACCTTGGTCCCTCCCTTCTTATCCTCCAGCCCCCAGCCACAGTGGCCTTCAACTTATGAAAAACAGAGAGCTGATCCTTGCTTTTAGGGCTTTGCAAGTCCTCTGTCTATAATGCTTTTCCCCCAGAACACTGTATGGCTGTCTGGATGCCTCACTGTTTTAATCTCCACTTGTATATCACTTCTTCAAAAAGGTCTTTCCTGAACATCCAATGTAAAGTTAAGAACTCATTTTTATAGACCTTTAGTTCTCTTTAATTCTGTAGTAGCCGTGAGAGCTTCCTTACTTAATTGTACATTTTATTTTTAGTCTGCCTTAACACCTACGCTTCTTCTCTCCCCAGCTACTCCAAAGCAGGAAACTCGCTTCGTGTACTGTAACATCTTTTGCAACCAGAACCAGCCTGACACGTGGTAGGCATTCCACGGATATTTACTGGACTCCTTGTAAATAAATATTCTTCGTACTTTTGAAACACAGAACTTAGCACTACAAAAGAAACAGCATGACATTATTTTTCAAAAAGAACAGAAATTGTAAACTATACAGGCATTTTCAAAGGCTTTAATGGTTCTGATCAGAGTTAAGTACTTAGCTTCAATTTTGAAAAAGGAAGAGCCCACAAACAAAATCACAAAAGCATACAATGATTGCATGAGGGAGTTCTCCTGTCAGATCAGTACTTTAAAAACTGTATCACCACTCCACAGGCTCCTTGCTTTGAAATGAAGAATGTTCACTGCTCACCAGTATTTTTATTGCTGCTGAATATGTGATTTATTTACTGGATAAGGAACAAGTCTTAATAAAAAGACTTCCTTTTTAGTGCAGAAAGTGTTGAAAAAAGGGTTTCATTTTTTGAGGCTATTTAATACAAGCCTGTAGAATGAGACGTCTTCCATTGACTGCATGGGAGCTCAAGCTGTTCCTCTATCATTCACTCTGGCGTGCAGGAACATTAGTGGATGGGCCTCAGTGGCCAGGTACGATCACAAGATTCAAAATCTAAATTGCTATTTACAGATATGCCATAACATTTCAAAAAGTATGTAGTATTCTCTCAGATGATCAGGCAGAAGTTTCAATATGCATTTCAACATAGCCTATCTTCACCAGTTTTGAATTTCCTTCACAAAGAAGGCTTACCACATTATTATGGTTCCTGAAGGAAGAGGAAACACATGTTTGTTAAACATGTCCTTTGGGCCAGGCTCCTTCCTAATTGTGTTATCTGCACAGTCTCATTTAATTCTTACAACTGCAGTAAATGAGTAAAGGCAATGGAAAGAAAGACTCTATTCTTTCATGCAGTGTTGAAGGAGAAGATTGGTTAATGAGGAATCAGGAAAAGAAAGGAGCTGCCTATTCTTAACCCCTGAACATCATCCCAGAGTTTGGTTTCAAGTTTTTAAGGGATACTGTGTTTTATTTTTACTGGTTCGTGGCAGTTGTCTGGAGCATGACATGTTCATTGACCTAAAATGCTGTTGCATCGGGCACAAGCTTTCCATAGGAACTGCACATTTACGTTGTATAATAGTGCTAGGATTTAGAAAAAGACAATTGGATGAGGCACGTTGAGCTTCCTTTAAACTATTCTTACCTACTCATAGAGTAGTGCATCTGATTTGGTTTCATGCTTCTTATAATGCTGGGAGAGCTAGAGGAAGGGGTAGGGAGGGCTCATTTCCCTTTCTTTACCCATCTGAAGGAACTCTTTAAGCCTTTGGCTGATTTAAAAAAAAAACTCAAGGTCGTGTAGTCTCATAAAACTCTAGGATTGTGGCATTCATTTCTACAGAAATAGGCTTGATCAATTTTGAAGTAACAACTAATCCTGATAAAGTAGAAGAGAGGAAAAGTTCCCTAAGGTTGTACGAAGGCACCATTAAGGGTCTGGATTGGTAGATCACTGGCTTTCTTTTGGGTACATTATGGTTAGAGAGACATTAATTTTCCTTCTTTTTTTTTTTTTTTTTTTTTTAGATAAAAGCCATCCAATGGCCTCAAGACCATATTTAATGGTTACAAAGTTCAAAGAAGTCAAGCCTAAGTAATCTGTTACAGGAAAACACTGAAAACATCTAAATATCTAAAGTATATATGAAATCTTTGGATTCTATTAGTTTGGAATAAAGAAGGTAGGAGTGACAAATTAATGCTTCAATATGTAAAGAAATTTGAGAAATAGCAACATTAGCTTAGAGAGCTGGAGAACAGAAGCTTCCATAGTTGGAAGCTAATATTAGGCCCTCATACTATAATTTAAGTCACAATGTTTGACAGAAAATACCTGTAAGGTTTTCATTCTTGTGTGTCCTTATGATACTTTTGCAATAGATGTAAATATATCAAATGTTTCCAGAATTCCTCATCGTTGTTGAGGAAATATGGAAGGTGAAATTCTAGCTTTTTTTCAAATGAAACAACTGGATGAACCTTCAGTCGGGATCAAATATTGAGAATATAATGGTGATGCAAGACATGGTCAGAAGTCTTCTAAATAGCAGAGGTCAGGAAAAGACTGAGGCTTTACCTAATGGTAAGTATTAAAGGAGAATATGGCATGAAGTCTTCTTTTGCTTATCCAGATATTTGAGAGTATAGAGCAAAGCTTGAATTGAACCAAAAAAGAGTGAAGTAAGTGGATTCCTTTGCTTGGTCTAATAATATTATGACATTCTTGTATTCAATTATCTTGACATTTATATGATGATCCATTCATATATTTAACCATACAATTAATTCATTGAATAATTGGTTAATTAAATATTATAGCTCAGAGAAGAGGGCCAGTGAAGCCATTTGTTTTGGGCTAGTTTTAAAAAGAAGTGCTTTGAGTGACTACAATTTGACTTAGTTTTTCCTGAGGTTAAAAGTTGATTCCTGTTTAAGATTATTTGTTGATACTGATTCAGTAACAGCTAAATCATTAAAATGATACTCTAAATATCATCTTACATACCTTCAAAATAAATGTGAAAAACTGCAAGTGTATTTTGGTAGTCACTTGCCCTGCAGAATAACATGAGCTAGACCGTGGCAGGAGGCAGCAGGAAGGAGAAACATATGTGCTGTGAATGTCTGGGATATGACTAAGGTTCTGACATGCTCTAGAATCTTGGTAGAATGAGCTCTGTGCCAAAACACTTTAGGATAGTGCCTCTTTCAAAAAATGTAACATCTTTGCAGTAAGAAAAGTTTTCAAATGATGTTAAAAGAAGCTAAGAGAAGAACTTTCACATGGTATTGGTTGAGCTCAGCAATGTCTTGCTGTCCAGACAGAATCCAGTGAGAATCCAGCTCTTGGATGATTCCTCTTCCTCCCATACAGTCAAAATACACTGCCCGTAATCCAAGGTAAAATTCGATTTCCAGAGAGAGTCCTCCCAACAAAATCGCGCTAAATTCAGCCTGACTCTTTCAGTAATAGTAACAGCTGTTGCTTACTGAGGATGCCTTACCTGCCAGGCTCTGTATTAAGTATACTTTACACATACTGTACATCATTTAATCCTCACCACAATCCAAAATAAAGCAATCTTCTTATATTTAAAATCATGTGGTAAAATCTTAAATTGATGCATTACACACACCTCCAAATATATTATAGGAAGCCAGAGTCTATGTTTTGTCCCCTTTTCTTTCCCCAGTACATAGTGAGTGGCTCATAATTTGTGCCTAGAAAATATTTGTGGAATTAAATGAACTGTCGTTTCCTGTGCTTTCCCTGAGAAACAGGTTTTCATCCATCATTTTGTTCTTTGAAAACCTAACTTCGAAGATCCTAGAGGTGAAAAAGCATTGGAAATTTTTAACCTAAGAAATGTGGATTGACTTATCTGTCTTCTTGGTGAGTGAGGAAGACTGATGTAAAGGAAGGTTGGAAGGGGTTGTATGGGAATTGGTGGGAAAGAAGAAATAGTAATCTTTGTAAAAATAACTTTTGTTCTCTCTAGACTGTAAACATAAAGAAATAAGAAAAACAAGATACTGTGAACTCGATAGTTTTCCAGGGTGTGTCTGAGATTTAACCTTATGGCAATGGGTGCTGACAGACCCACTCTCTGTGTTGAGAACTCCAGCAAGACTGGGTTTATACACAAGAGAAGGAAGGGTCGCAGTGGACGGAAAACATGCAAATAAATGCAGTTTTGTTTTCTCTTCCTTTTAGGCTAGATTTCAATTTTCCAGCTGCCGATTGGGCCTTGTCCACACTGCTCACTACCCTGATGGCTCCAGGCAGACAATTATCACCTTGGTATGTGACATATAGGAGGAACAACCAATGACACAGACTCACAGATTCTGCAAACTGAGTCCCCTCTCTCTCCAACTTTAGCTAATCCGTGGGATTATTTTATTTTATTTATTTATTTATTTTTTTGAGATGGAGTCTTACTCCATCACCCAGGATGGAGTGAAGTGGTGCAATCTTGGCTCACTGCATCCTCCACCTCCTGGGTTCAAGCCATTCTCCTGCCTCAGCCTCTGGAGTATCATGCCCAGCTAATTTTTGTATTTTTAGTAGAGACAGGGTTTCACCATGTTGGCCAGGCTGGTCTCGAACTCCTAACCTCAGGTGATTCATCCACCTTGACCTCCCAAAGTGCTGGGATTACAGGTGTGAGCCACCGTGCCTGGCTATGATCCAGTCATGTCAGGAACCATTATGGTCAAGGACAGTCACATGGTGTCCACCTGCATGTACACACAGTGTCGCGCAAAGCAAGTTGAACAGACTCCACCCTTCACTTGCAGCAGCTTCCAATAAAAACCAGACAATAGATGTGGCAAATACAATAGGGTAAACAGATGCACAGCTGTATAAGCAGAGAAGTACAACAAATTAGAAAATGTTGGTATGAACTGTTTAGTGCATGTGCTGTTTGTGGGCTGGAAATGAGAAGAAATTCTGCAAAATGAAGAGAATTTGTGTGGATGCTGTGTGAAAGTAAGGAAGAAGAGGTTGATGATGGTGGGATAATCATCCTGCTCCTTTCAGTTAGCAGAGAAAATTTTCTTTTGGAGTCAAGGGAGATGGTGTTTCCTTCAGAGGTATCTACTCAGAGGGTACATGTATTTCTACTTAGGTTCAGGTTTTTCTGAGAGATTTTGTTGTAACCAACTGAGAGAAGGAAAATAAAAATTGTATTAAGCAGGGCATAGCCTGCCAGAGAAATTTCATAAGCCTTCTTTCCACTGGAAACCAGGCTAAAAAGAAAAATAAGACAAGAATGTATTATAATTGAACATTTCACTTATAACCAACTAGCATATGCCAATTGACTTGCCAAGGAAATAATTACTTTGGTGGATTTTGTTTTTGTTTTTGTTTTAAGGGGCAATATTGCTTGTCACTGTCCAGCATTGACTGTCTTTGACATCCTAAACATTGTCAGGAACTAATCTGAACTTGCAAAGAATTCAGCTGAAAGCAATTCCAGGCAGGTCTCTACCTCAACCACCCTGAGCTGATAGGTATCTCCCTTCCTTTAAGTACATTCAGATAGAGAATTTGAAAACCTCTCCAGCAATCTTTTCCAGGGTTTATAAAATATTCCTTGCCAATAAGATCTTTCCATCTAACTTAAATTCCTTTGGTTCTAATTTAAATTCATTTCCTCTTTTTTTTTCTTGTTAGAGAGGAGAGTACTACTCACCAATAGGAACTTCTCAAAATATATCTGCTAAACACACATCTTAGGCTTCCTTCCTGAACATATATGACCTATTTCAGAGGTTACCTATTTATTATTTCACACACACACACACACACACACACACACACACACACACAAACAGTACTACTTTGGTCTCTTGCTTTTTTTCTCATAAGATAACCTGCTATAGATCCCTTAAAATTGTGAGTTACCACAACTAATTTCATGAGGTTTATTCTACAATATTGACATGTAAATATGTCCTATTTGTCTAGTTCCAATCAGGCTTTCTTAAATCACAATGGTCTGTAAGAATGTTGGAATTTATAGTTTATGCTTCCTTAGAATGGGTGAAGTGAAGGATAGTCTCAAGATAGTGATGGCCACTTTCTAGCTCTTAACACTTTGGGCAAGAACTTTACCTCTAGATTCATGAGGAGAAGAATGCCTTGCTTTTGCAACTATAAAATGAGGAGATGGACAAAATAATTTTAATTTTATCCATCTTGAAGACCCAACAATTCTATGAATATGTCTTAAGCATTCCTTTGGCCAGAAAGAGCAAAGCAGCTATTTTCTCTTAACTATCATTAATTTTATCCACAGTGGTCAATATGTGTCACATTATCACTAATTTCTCAAGTGAGAACTTCTACATTAAATTTTTAATTGTTTTACTGAGTTATAACTTACACATTTTAATATAAGTTTGTCAGGTACCTGCTCCTGCCTATATGACACATTAATGTCAAAGGGTAGAAGTTTGCAGCTCAGTGGGTTTTTGCATTTGCTAAGTCATTTTGCAGTTTATTATTGCTAAATGTCTTTGCAAGGCCATGATAGCATATATAAGAGTTTTTATTAAATGGCTTTTAGGCCACTGGAGAGGAGTCTGTAATTCTCAATCTCTTTCATTCACGTGGATGTGCTTCCTGTCTTTCATGCCCTGGAATCTTTTAAAGCACATGCTAACAAAATGAGCCTTTTGAGAATATGATGACACATGGAATTCCCTTTAGAAGGTAATTCCTTTATTTCAAAACCTTAAGTACTAGGGAATAAAAAAATTGTGATCGAAAGAGTCTTCAAAACTAGGGCATTGAAAAAAGTCCATAGCAGCAATGTTTGGAGTTGATCTTTTTCTCCTGTGATTATCTACTGAGTATCAATTTTCACTTCATTTCCTTTTAAACTTTTGCTGAACTCTGAATTAAGCAGAAAAGGGCACATCAGAGTTAGCCACATCACCACCCGCATCAAAAAACCCAGCGTTGCAATCTTCTCAGGGTTTTTTTTTTTTTCATGAGACAGAGACAGAGTTTCACTCTTGTTACCCAGGCTGGAGTGCAACGGCGCGATCCCAGCTAAAGGTGGATAGTCTCTTCTGTTCATCTTTTCACATATCAGCCTGGCTTTCCCCTGCCCTTTCACTTGCAGACATGCCTTTCTTTAAAGTCATTTTCTGCTTGACTTGAAAATACTTCATCAAACCTAATGGCTAATTAAACATAGGAAGTCTGAATTCAATTATACTCTGGATATCAAAATAGGATGAATAATTTTTATAAAATTTAAGCCATTTTTCTTCTATGACAACTTTATCAGCAATTTGTTTTCTGCCTCAAACAACAAATCTGTCTGGGTTTCCAGGCATTTCCTTTGCCCTCCTGTGGGCATCCCCAGGGTCCCTGTCTCCTCTCACTCTCAGCCCTGACCATCTAGGCTGCAGTGGCTTCATTTTTTTTTTTTCTTTTCTTTGTCGTAATTGTGGCTCTGTGCCACTAAGTGCAAAGCAGGTGTTCTGCACTCTGGATGGCTGACCGGTCTGCTGAGCCATCCGCTGACATTTCAAATGCGTCTTTTCATGTTTTTGACCCACCTTACATTACACAACTCACATTAATTGTTCCCTGAGTAAGATCTGCACTTTTTGACCACTGGGAGTGCCTGCCTCGCAATTCCCCAACTTGGTGCTGGAGTTGACCTTGAGCAAGGGAGACAGCATGTTTGCTCTTTTAAGCTTCATTATCTGTAGTGGTACTGCCCAAATTCTGAATGGCCTGGAGAATGCTCTCCATCAGCCCTTTCATCTTTTCATCCCCTTCTTTTCTTTGGTTTACACGTCCTCTTCTGCTCATTCTCCACTTCTGCTCACCACACTGAAATCAACAAAGCACTGAGGGAAAAGTGGGCATAAGGGGATCACTATGAAGGTCTTTCCTCCCATTCACTTTAGTTCTCAGAAACTCCTCACCATCCTTCTAAAATCTTGCTGTAAATGAATCCTTCTGCACTTTTGATTTCAAAACCAAAGATTGTCTTTTCTTAATCTCTAATCCAGTACTTTTTCTTGGCTTTTGAATACATGACAGTTCTTTCATTTCTTCAATGCACTGACCACTAAGAAGCTCTTTCTGCTATAATGAACCAATTCATACAGAGCTCAGAGTGTAGGAAAGATTGTTTTAATTTAGGTTCTCTCAGGTATTTATGTCAGCTTGCATGATATGTTTATATGTAAGGCTGCCTTTTGGTGAATGTAATTCTCTTGGAGGATCAGTAAACTATTATTTTTATAATGTTATCACCTTGAATTCTGAGAAAGAAAAATTCAGGTTAGCAGAATTCTAACCATATAGGAAGTCACCCATGGTAACATAGTGTTATTTAATATACATTAAATATTGATATCAATAACATATTGAGTGAAAGGTCTATAGGAATATGGAGGTTTTGCTCCATGTCTATCTTGCAACCTATCTCCTTCCCTGAAAATTCTCCATCTGTCGTTCAGTATTAGAAAATAAAATATTCTGAGGTTGGGCCAGCCAATAAGCAAAAAGTTAACTTTCATTCTTTGCTCTAACCTTAGCAGAGAGAGATCTACTAGTTCAATCATAATATGGTATTGGGAAGGTAGCCAAGTGAGAAATTTTGAGAAATTCTATGACACAATTAACAGATCTAATTGAATCTACTCTTGATTAAAAACTGCCTACTGACAGGTTATGGGTTCATAAAGTTCGGGATAGTTTTGGTCTTAGGGACCCCTGCCACAAAGATGGTCAAACATAGGTCTGAGTCTCAAAACCATAAATGATTATAATTCTAGTGATGTGGACTAAAAAATTTATCAATATGCGAATGAATACGAAAGCTGATCTAGCTCAAGGTAAGTGTTAGAATTCTGAGAGTCCATTGAAATGGAAGAAATCACCAGAGTGATCATTCCAAAGCCCATGTCATTCACTCACTTAATTTAAATTGCCCCACTGCTGTTAGAATCAAGTCCAGGTCCCCAGTACCACACTCATAGCCCTATTGACCTCTACATCTTCCTTTCTCTTCGCTTCACCTCTCACTTCATCTATCCAGAACTACATTCATTTATATGAAGTCACCATGCTTTCTTACCCTCTGGGTTTGCCATACGTTGTTACCTCTGATTTGCCTGGCTAACACTTACTCATGCTTCACATTTCAGCCTGGATGTCATTTCCTCCAGAAAGTCTTACCTGTTTTCTTGAGTTTGGATTAGGTGTTCCTCATATCTGCTCCCAAAAGCCCTGTGCTACCTTAGCCGAGCAGTCACTCTGGA